TGCGAGATGGCAAACAGTACTTAGGTCTACCATATAATGTAACCACTGCGTCTACAAGAACATTTTTAAAAGATCCATTTATTTTGTATCGTATACAACGTTTTACACAAATGCATGCTTAAGCACCGTGCTCATGTCCAGCACCCTGGGGGTTCCTAAGAGGGTATCGGATCCTATTTATCTGAAATTGGGGTGGTTGTGAGCCATCATGTAAGTGCTGAAATTGAACCTTGATCCTCTGCAAAAAGAGCAAGAGTTCTAAACCCTGAACCCTCTCCAGCCCTTAAATAAAACTCCTGACGGCTCTGGAGAGTTGAGTCAGTAAGTAGTGTCCCTGCCAAGCAAGCATGAAGACCCAAGCTCAGATTCCCAGGACCCAGGCAAAAGCCACGCACAGCAGGGATTACCTGTGACCCAGCTCTAGAGGACAGAATTGGTGAGCTCCAGACCCAGTGACACACACAGTCTCAGAAAACAAGGTGCAGATCAATAAAAGAAGACGACCATGTCAACGGTTGCACATGCACAGACGAGCAAACACTCACTTCACACGACTCCGAATATGCCTAATGCGATGTAGCCAAGCTACAACCTTGTAAGATCCGCAGCATCTGACTCTAGAGCGATACCACCTTAGGGGGCTTCGTCCTATACGGGGCTCCAACCACCTTTCCCCAGGGGTTTCGTACCAGAGATCCTGCATCTTGCAAATCTCCATTGCCACTCACAGCAGTAGCAAAAGCACAGCCGTGAAATAGCAACGAAATAATTGTACAGTTCGGAGGGAGGCGGCACAACCTGAGAGGCTGTATCAAAGGGTCACAGCCTTAGGAATGCCGAGAGCCGCTGCACTACGGTTTAGTCATTTCAAATTCTAGACATAGTTTACGCAAAATTAAGAGATGCACAGCCTTTTCTTACGGGACTTTTCTCTAGTAAGAATAAATGTTTTCACTGACAATGTTCACTTATGGTCCATATCTGTTACATTATAAATCACAGTAACAGTTCTGAAACTATAGAATGTCGACCCTTCCTTCCTTCACAGCAAGGAGCTGGCAGCCATGTGAAACAGCGTGGTCCCCTCTGAAGCCCCATGCGTTACGGCGTGATCCCCTCTGAAGCCCCATGTGTTACAGCTGTGCCACAGAGCAAAGCATCCGCGCTCTGGGTGCCTGGGGGACGCCTGCCTGCCCGCGATGGTCAATGCACCATTCGCAACAGCAGCGAGTCGAGCAACAGGTAAGGACAGCGTGTTGTGTGAGGTGTAGTCCTAAGCAGCCATTGCTATCCCAGTGACATCGAAGGAGATGAGGGGTAAAGATTACATCTACATGGAGTGGTAGATCTATCTCAAGACTACAGGGCTACCCAGCAACAACAACATCAACAACAACAGAACCTCCCCAGCAACATTGACTCAGAAGTCCAATTAGAGACAGAAAAATAATGACCAAAAATCAATGCCAGGTTTTGCGCAGCAATGGAGGAGGGGCGTTTATCTAGTTCTGAATGTGAAATAGTATTCCGTCAAGTAAGGCTTGCTTATCCATAACTCAAATCATCGTGTGACTACCTTTTCCTGGAACAGTCTGAGTAGTAGGGAGGGCACCCACAATCCATCACTGACATACACAGCAATGTCATTCTCTGTCCAGTAACAAAGTGAAGCACAGGTGCATACGCCCAACATGCTCCAGCAGGAACAGAGGCATGCAGCAGACACTGCTTAGCAGGAGACAGCAGCTCTTCAGGCACACTCTTCCCCTGGGATCTCACCAAGCCTTTCCTCTCCGTCATGGGTTTCTTTGTCCGAGTCACTGTTGAGACACAAACTGTTTTCTGAAGCTTGACAACTCCATCACCTCATTGTAGCCTTGAGGTAGACCTGCTACTCTATGTCTGTTTTAAAGATCGACTTGCATCCCCTAAAATTAAAATATAAGAAAGGTGTCATTGCAGGGAACCATGGAGTTAGCCTGGTCTAGCTGCCTTAGGAGGCGTGGGTCCTAGGTTTTTCACAGTAGAGTGCGTGGCTCCTAGGGCACAGTGTGCCTTCCAGGGGTAGCCTTACATGCTGAGGCAAAGCCTGTGGTAGCATGGAGGTTTCTCGGGTCCTCACTGGTCATGGTAGTGAGGAAAGTGGCAACAGAGGGCCATGAACTGGGAGTCCCAGTGGCTGTGGTACTTCATCACCATGGCAACCATGGGGGTCCTGCTTGTCTCTTTGGGTGATTCTAGAAAGCCAGGACGGACCAACAGGAAGAATGCATGGGGGAGAATGTCTGAAGGGAAATGACTGGGAGTGAGGGGGGTGGGGGGTCCTTCTGTGAACACCATTCCTTGTCAACCGGAGCCCCAGAGCCAGAGTCTGTGAAAGGCTGTTGGGGAACCAGATTAAGCCCTGTTAAAGAGATTTAAGATGGGCATGGTTGCTACCTCAGCCTGTATAGCACTTGGAGCACAGCAGGCTGAGGACCCAAGTCTGATCTCCAAAACCCACGTGAAAAGCTGTATGCGGATACAGACCTGCGGTCTCTCCTCCCGACACTTCTGTACGGGAGGAGTGCTGGGTACACATTCTCATCAGCCAGGGAGCAGGAGCCAACTGCCCCGTGACTTCCCTACATCGATGAGGCTACACTCCCTAACCACGTGCAATGAAGCTTTCCTCCTTCACGCCGGCTTTTGTTAAGCTCCGAGGAGTGGTCAACTGGGGCAGCTGCTTTCTGTGTCCCCAGACTCGCTCTTCTTTCCACCCCTCAGCAGTGTGAGCGTGGGCTCCCATGAGTGGAACTCACCTTATTCAGCCCATGTGGGATCCCCAAAGGACTGTGACCCTGAAGTATAGACCCTCCACTCCCCTCTCACAGAGCCACCACTAAGCCTGGAATGAAGCTGTCTATAACTACATGTGCCCTACCCCAGCCTTGAGCAGGCCTGGAAGACCTTGTTTACCACAATAGACCAAATAATAGGACCAAGGTGGAGTTACCCACCTTGGCTGCACATACAGCCTGCTACAGGAACTTAGAAGAACAACTGCCTGCTGAGCTTGCCTTGAGACATCTCCGGCTGTGACTAAGGATGGGTTCCCAGACCCATCTCCGGCTGAAACAAGAAGGGGTTTGGTGGGGCTTTCCCTTTAAATTAGAAGAGCTGAACATTAAACTTGTTCAGAGAACTTTGTCTTGGCTTCATCTTTCTCTCGCCCTTCTGTCCTTTTCTTCATTTCCTGCCCCCTTTCAGGTGAACCTTGTTGGTCCGTGGCCGCAGGCGGCTAAAACTACAGCTGGTCTTTGCTACTTGGTGGGTTCTTCTTCTTTCCACCTTTATCCCACATCTCATTTCGTCCACGAACACTAGATAGGAGAGAAACAAGGACAGAGGGGAGAGAGAAATTAGGAAGATTCCTGAATCTAATTTCTCTCCTTTTGTTTTTTTTTCTTTGACCATGGCTACTAACAAACCACACTCGACCTCCCTGAGTGACCAGCAACCACCCACCCCGCAGTTTGGGGGCCCTCACATTTATATACCATCTAAAAAGTTCCCAGAATTCCAAGCATCACAGAATTGCTCAAATTATCAGCAGCTGGCAAAAGCACGCTTGCGCTAGAGCCTGAGGCAAATCACAGTCAGCTGCTGCGGAGAATGTGAAACAGCCCCATGTCCCACACCTGAGATTAAAATGAAAGCACATTCTTACAGTATTTCTGTGTTTTTTTTTTTTAAAGAAACCAAAATTCCAGAGTTCTTAACAATGCCACTACATATAACACCTGTCTTTGTCTGACTATGTGTGTGAGAATGTATTCATGTAAGTGTGTGTGTGTGTGTGTGTGTGTGTGTTTGTGTGTGAGAGTGTGTGTGTTGTGAGAGTGTGTCTCTGTGTGTGAGTGTGGGTGTTAAGTGTGCTGTAAGAGTGTGTGTGAGTGTGCTTGTGTGTCTGTGTGAGAGTATGTGTCATGAGAGTGTGTGCACGAGTGGTTTTGTGTGTATGTGTGTGAGGGTCTGTTTGAGAGTGTGTACTGAGTGTGTAATAATGTGTGTGTGTGATTGTGTGTGGGTGTGTGGGTGTGAGTCTGGTGGTTTGGGTAGGTTTGGCCCTCCATTAGACTCATGTGTTTGAATGCTTGGTCCACGGGGAGTGGCACTATTAGGAGGTGTGGCCTTGTTGAAGTAGATATGACATTGTTGGAATAAATGTGTCACTGTGTAGGTGGGCTTTGAGGTCTTCTCCTATGCTCAGACTCTGCCCAGTGCTGAAGACATTCTCCTCCTGGCAGCCTTCCAATCAAGATGCAGAACTCTTAGTTCCTTCTCTGGGACCATGTCTGCCTGCAGGCTGCCATGCTTCACCCCATGGTGACAGTGGACTAAACCTCTAAATTATAAGCCAGCCCCAATTAAATGTTTTTTTAAGAGTTGCCTTAGTCATGGTATCTCTTCACAGGAATGGAAACCCTAACTAAGATGTGTGTGTGTGTGTGTGTGTGTGTGTGTGTGTGTGTGTGTGTGTGTCTTGTTCCACACCTTCTCAAGCCTACCACGGCAGCACTCACATGGTGTAATGGCCCTAAGAAATGGGGTCAAACCTTTTCTCAGCTCATCTCTCCTCCCATGACAATCAGCTCGGTCTCTGTGTCACCCTTTTGCTGGGGCCCTGGCTGAGGAGGAAGAAGCTGGGGGACACAGCCTCCTGCCCTCACAGGTTACAGTGAGGTCCAGCACTTCCTGCTGCAGCACCAAGAGGCTCTGTGAGGCCACAGTTGGCAAGAAGATTCGGTGTGAAGATGGGGAGACCAGGCCCTGGCAGGAAGTCTCTCATGGATCCCACTGTGTGCCCTCATCTCCTCACGCAGAGAAACCCAGTATTTGGTAAATAACAACTTTATTCTCCAAATGTGTGGTCCTTGCGCGGTTATCTGCTCTGGAGCAGGGTGAGTTCAGTGGCTCCCATATCTAAACATGAGGAGGCAGAGGTGTGTGGGTGAGGGATGAGGGCACCCGCCAGCGCAGGCCGACAGTGCCCAGTCTCAGGTCTTTGGGTTATGAGGTCAGAGGAGGGCTGGGTATGGTTGGCCAAGAGGGATAAAGATTGACAGGGAAAGGGGTTCAGCAGAGAGGACAAATCCCAGCCCACAAAGAGCTGAGAAGAGCCAAGAGCCCTAACACCCAGGCCAGGGAAGAGGCCGAGGCATCATCAAAAATAGGGTTTTCATTATATTCATCCTCATGATGAAAGTTAGTGATCTCCTTTGCCGAGAAGATCCCGATTGTTTTGGAGTCACCCAGTAAGGATTTGATAGGTGGGGCCATGCACCCCTGAATGCTCACTATAGAAGACAGTCCACCTGGAGGGTAAAGACAGGTCAGGAGTGGCACAGTTCAGCAGTGCGGGAAACTCAGACCTATGAGTCCAGACCTCAGATACAGGAACCATCATCCCTTAGACTGACTGCAACCCCTGCCTTCCTTCCTCCATCCTCAGACCTAGGACTCCAGGCCTCAAGCCTCCTCCCTCAGACCCAGGGGTCCAGGACCCAGGCCTCCTCCCTCAGACCCAGGGGTCCAGGACCCAGGCCTCCTCCCTCAGACCCAGGGTCCAGGACCCAGCCCTCTTCCATCTGAGACAGCCCCATCTCTTCTCCCTCAGACTTGGGAGTTAGGGCACAACCCTCTCATCCTCAAATCCTGGAGTCCAGGCCCTTCAGCCCAAGGGTCCAACTATCCGCACTCACCTCCACTTAGCAAAATGTCACCTTTGTAACAGTGAGTGGCACCCTGAGGGCAGGTGACAGAGCTGGTGTTCCCTGAGCAGGATAAAGATAACTGCACACACACAGGACACTGCACAGCTCCTGGGGGACGGACATCTGAGGACAGAGAGAAGGGTTGAGGTGCACGCTTCTCAATTACAGTCACCGGCTTAACTCCCAAGTGTCTGGGTCCCTCCGTGTCGCTGGATCCCATACTTGGACGAGGGAGGATGCTTAGAAGAATGCTGCTGCTGTTGGCTTCATTGCACAGGTGGGAGGAACAGAATCTGGTATAGGAAGCTACCAGCATCCCAGGGGACTGGGAGAATGTGGAGACACCAACACTGTTCTGTGTTCCAGGACTGCTGCAGCCTTTGCTCCCCAGGAGGGCTGATTTTTGTCCTGTGGGGTCTGACAGTGAAAACCAAGATCAGAAGGAGAGAAAGGCAAGGACTGGCAAGCCAGTTCTCGGGTCTCTTCCAATCACAGGGAGACTACAACCCCCAGGGACAATAGCACAGATCATATTCTGAATCTGCCGAAGACTGGCTCCCTCTGCTCTGCCCCTCACAGACTCTGTTCCCAGGCCCCTCCACACAGTCTCCCCTGAGCCCCTGCACCAT